TGTGTGTGTGGTTTAGCAAGATAACTCGAGAAGCAGTTGATGGATTGGAATGAAACTTGGTAGGTGGGTAGGTCTTTATGAGACCTAGAAATGATTAGATTTTTGGGCCCCCTGGTGGCTTTCCTAGGTACTGCAGCTGAACTTCCGGTTTTGTATATCTCATGTTCTGGACATGCTAGGGTCACGAATTTTGGTTGGTAAATAGCTCTTGGGACAGGGAAGAAATGACATGAGTTTGGGTCCCCTAGCGCCCTGTTCTGGAACTGCAGGAGCATTTGTTGAAAAAAATTTCAAGGACGATAACTCAAGAACCGGTTGACGTATTGTTGTGATTTTTGGTATGTAGGTAGTTGAAGTGATGCTTGACATAATCAGATGACAATTATGCAAATCAGGAGCTAATTTGCATAATTAATGAGGAAATTCTATAAATCTGCTTTGTTCGATAATAGAACTATGAAACACTTCACTATGAATCTACTTGAGAACGAGTTAAACATCTGAGGATATAGATTATGTAAATGAGGACCTAATTTGCATAATTAATGGCAAATTCTTATAATTCCATAGTTGTAACTGCTGCACTCCGAATTTCATACTTGCCACATTTGGAAGTTAAGTGAAGGTGAACATCAATAAACATAATTTATTCAAATCATGACCTCATTTGCATAATTTCTGAGGAAGTGCTATAATAGCCTTTTTGTTATGGCTGTCATTTGTTAAGGCTGTCATTGGATGGAGAATATGATCAACTGATATAATCCATGCAAATGTGGCTCTTATTTACAAAATCAATGATTAAAATTTATAATTCGTCACCCGCAAGGGTTAACATCATTTGGCGAAGGTATGAGATCGTTGAACTCTTGTTTTACTCATATAAACCCAATGTTGCTGAAGTAGCCATTTGGAAATGCATGACTGTCTTCCTAATTTTTTAGCAGATCTCTCTCCTTATCTTGATAATTTCTGTGTCCATCCAGGCCACTTGTGATTTAGTGTCACAAATCCACGTGCACTGCGGTAATTTGGTGTAACGTTATATGGACGACATGGGAGGAGAGCCCACTGAATAGACTCACTTTGAAGCCGGATCGAAGCCACTCTATTCGGCTCGATCCGGACAATTCTATCCTAGTGGGAAAAATGCCATAATGTTTTGGTGACCATTAGGCTCAATATTAGGCGGCACTTTGTTTCGAAGGAATGTGAGTTATAACGTTATATATGGGGAAAGACT